CACCACATCCCCGCATGCGCATTGAGGAGGGCGAGATGAGTAGCCGCCGCCGCCGCCGCCGCCACCCCCTCTCGCCGGCGGCGGCGCCCCTGGATGATGACGACCTGCTCTCCGAGATCCTCCTCCGCCTCCCCCCGCAGCCGTCCTCCCTCCCTCGCGCCTCTCTCGTCTGCAGGCGCTGGCGCGTCCTCGTCTCCGACCCTCGCTTCGCCCGCCGCTTCCGCCTCCACCACCGCCGCAACCCTCCCCTACTCGGCTTCCTTCACATAGGCTTTCGCACTCGCGAGCTCTCCTTCCTGCCTGCTCTGGAGCCCCCCAATCGTGTCCCGCCCGGGCGCTTCTCTTTGAAGTTCGGCGGCGACGGCGACCCCTTCGCGCTCCTCGGATGCCGCCATGGCCTGGTACTCGTCTACCACGCGTCTTGTAAACAGATCCTGGTGTGGGATCCTGTCACCGCCGACCAGCACCGGATTGCCGTCCCACCAAGGTTTGCGAGAGATGATGTGATCAGTGGGGCGGTGCTTCGTGCTGCCGGAGATGCCCAACACTTTCATGTAGCCTTGACAGTGTTAGACGACGAGGACAAACAACAAAGACGAGCTCTCGCATGTGTGTACTCGTCAGAGACTGGATTATGGGGTGATCTCGTCTCGACACTGCTTCCATGCGAGGCTTCAGCGAGCATGCGGCTTATTTCATGTAAGGCCGCTGTGCTGGTTCGGAATTCTCTTTACTGGGTGCTTTTTGGGAATTTGGATGGATTTCTGGAGTTTGATTTGGAGAGGCAGGTCCTAGCTGTGATACGGATGCCAATGGATTTGGTTGCCAAGGGAAGTTATGATATCTGCGTGATGCAGGCAGAGGATGGTGGTCTTGGTTTATTCTGTGTGCTGCAGTTGGACTACATTGCCCAATTATGGAAGAGGAAAACTGATTGTCATGGTGTTGCTTCATGGGTGCTAGGAAGAACTATTGAACTGGACAAGCTAATTCCCATGAATTTACCTGAGAAAATGCCCGTTGTGATACTGGGATTTGCTGAGGACAATAATGGGGTGTGCCTGTGGACACCATCTGTCTTCTTTATGGTCCATCTCGAGTCATTGCAGTCCAAGAAACTTTTAGAAGCCAACTTCTTTTTTGTTTGTCGCCCATTCGAAAGTGTCTACACTGCAGGTAATGACATGCCTTCATATATTGGGTTTAACAAAACCAAGTTAATGTTCAATAATGTGTTGGCAGAATTCTGCTCACATCCTTTTGCCTTAAGTTAGCAATTTTAAGTAGTGTCATACCACCTGTTTCTTTTACTACTTGATGGCCTTTTTTACATTAAGTGATTTTGTTTATGTAATATTCCTGTTCTGATTCTTGTGTGGTGGCGTTTTAATGAATAATTATGATCTAGATTTTTTTTGTTAGTGGTATCTAATTTATTTTATGCTCTGTAGCCAGGCATTGGGCTGCAATTGGTCTACTGTCAGCTTCATTTATGTAATTCTTGTGGTTCAAGTCAGAACTAACAAACTGTCTTTATTAAGTTCATTATATGAATATTCATACAATAGAACAAATGAATATTCATACAATAGAACAATGAACACCAAGATTGGCAAATGATTTCTTTAAAGTTGAACTATGTTTCAATGTTCTATGCCTATTAACATATACTGTACAATGGTAGTTTTAGTGCATAGCTACAGCGCAGTTTTTTCTTGAGATGATACATGGTAGTTGGAGGTTGAAGCCAACAACTACTTGAGAAACTTGCTTGAACCAACTGAAATGTCAAATAGGTAGCTCAATTGGTACAGTTAGAAGCTTCAAGCTCATCCTATTTCCTTCATTCAATATTTATTTTCCCTGTTAATCTTGCTACTAAATTCAGTCAATATTGCTGAATAACTTTTCATTTTATCACTTAAGGAGAGTCCCTAGCACGAGTAGCAAATTCATTTGTACCAGGGAAAACAAATAAACTGAGATCATTTCTTTTTTCGGGCTAAATTTATTTTAAGATGATATAAATCTGAATAGTCTTGATCACTTTTATTGCTATGGTTTCTTAGTATGATTTTTTAGGCTAAATTCATTTGAAGATAATCTAAATTTGAATAGTCTTGTTATTTTGTTGCTAGGATTTATCAGTATACCTATATTTTGTTTATTCTGATGTGCCATGAAATGAGCTTAATTATTCTGGATAAATTGCCTCTTCTGACCAGTTAATAATCTTGAGTGTGCATCTTAATCATTTTTAAGATAGTAATCAGCTTATACTTTTTCGAAATGTTCATTAAATTTGACAGTAGGCTTGGTTTTGTTTATCCATTCCTAATCTGGTATAAAACTGATATTGTTTCCCAAACAGCTATTGTGAGTTTATCTAAACATATTGTTGATGCCTCCTCGTATCTATTTGGTTTTTTGTTGGAATGTCATTGGTTGCTTGACTTGATTACTTCTTATGCTTGCAGAAACAGACATTGGTGGTGGACACGATGGGGCTGGTCTTTTGCAGAATACATAAGATGATTATCTGGCTATGTATGCTGCCGTGGTGTACTGATTGAGCAGGTAGGCATATCTTCTGCATGTATGCTGAGGTATCAGTACTGTTTTCTTAATGTATTGTTTTTCTTTTTACTGCCATTTCTCAAGTATCCAATTATAAGCGAGGACTAAGATGTTTCCTGCTTGGCCACCTCTTATCCCGCTTTCATGGCAGGCTGCATTTTTTATCTTTCTTCCAGGCCCAGCTTCCTCATCCTTTTGTGCCTTCATCAGCAACTCTATATTCCCTTTCACGTGCCTTCACCCACCTACCTTCTCTTTTATTTGCTGATGTTGTACGCCCCTCACTATTGGATGTGCTCTTTTGTTTGCCTTCTTTGTTCATCCAGTTGCCTTGCTTTCAGTTACCACCTTAATTCTCACCTGGTTCCTTCTGTTAGTGTAGTTTCTTCTCCCTCTAGCTCCTAAGATGAACTGATGACTTGAGACCCTTCCGCTTTTCGTGCATATGTTAACTGTTAGCATAATGAAATGCATCCTCTTTCGTGTTCTGCATTTGATTTCCTTTTTGTTTTTTACTACCAGTCGCTACATGCCTTTGGTTAGTTTTTTGGGGTTATGCATCTATCTAGTCCTAGTGTTATTTTTATGTAGTTTCCTTTGTGCAAGTAGTTTATAACTGACAATACATGAACATTTGCTTCACACTTTATTTAAATGGGCTTATGACTATGTCATTTCACATTGCTGCTTATCTTGGACCATTATGGTACCTAGTGAACTAATAACTGCCAAAATACTTGTAGAACATGCTTTCTTTAAACTTTATATTACCAATTAGTATCTTTTTGCTTGCGGCTATTGAAATTTTACTGGATCATAATTCTTGTGATAGTCGGTTTGCTTAAACGATCAGCATCTCTCACCGTCTATCTAATTTGCATATGTAATTGGCCACCATCCACTAACATATCTTGTCTGGTCCAAGGTATATGTAGCTATGCTGGGCATTGTATGTTCTCCACTTTCTGCCACGTTAGATGTTTAGCACTTTATACTGAACACATGATCAAAATGGCATGGCTAGATTCTACCATAAATATTGCTTTGGTCATGAATTGCATTTTTTACTGGCATGTTAAATACTCCCTCCGACCGGAAATACTTGTCGGAGAAATGGATGTATCTAGACGTATTCTAGTTCCAGATACATCCATTTCTTCAACAAGTATATCCGGACGAAGGGAGTATTAATTATATTAGAGATGCTATAGAAATAGTTGAAGTAAGTATTTTGATGTTGTGGAGAGTAAATAAAGATGGCATCTATTTTGTCTGAAGGAGGTGTCTCCATTAGAGTATTAGTAGGATCATGCAGGACCCCTCACTTGAGGCTTACTGCCCAAGTGTAACTAAATTTGATCCGTTAGCGACTGGCTAGCTCATGCTCCCTCCATCGAAAAACCTTGTCCCTCAAATGGATGTATCTAGCACAAAGTTAGTGCTAGATACATCCATTTGAGAGACAAGCTTGGGACAAGTTTTTTCGAACGGAGGGAGTATCTATTTCTGAACAGTATGTCTATAAGCTAGAAACGAGACGGTTCGGCTTTGCTACTCCATGAGCCCCTCATATGCCATAACAAGGCATATTTCAAATGATTCGATAAGCTAGGATGTCCAGTATTTCCCTATAATGGGGTGATTTGAACCACTTGTCTTTTAGCCTTTACTGAGACCAGAATACCAGATGTGGCCAAAAACTTGAGAATACGCCAGCAATAAGAGTTGAAGGTGTAGCATAATTCTTTTTTAACCGTCCTCCTATAGCTGCTCTCTATTTCTAATGTTGGTTCTGTCCAATAATGCTGAGACGATTCAGTTTCTGAATTTTTCCGCACAATTTCCTCAATAGTACTGTAGTGAAGTTAATGTTTAATGTTTGTGTCATCCTGATACATAACTTTAGCGGCTTTTCCATGAATAAATTGTACAAATTGGTTTGACTGATGAAATTGATGCCCCGCGGGGCCGCAGGTATCTAGGACTACGTTCCGGCGGCTGAGATGCAGAAATGGGTTGTGTGGTGTAGGTTCTTCCATTGTGAAGGGGTCTGTGTGTACTGGATTTGCCGGTGACTTGCTTGAATTAAGTATTAGTGTTGCGTCTGGTTGAGTTTTCAGCTTCTTTACATCTCGGCTGATGTTATATGCCCCATGGTGCTGTCACAATAGATTAAAATTGTGTTTCTCAAAAGACATGACGATGACACGGTGATCATGAAGGTGACCGAATCCAGGAGAAGATACATCCCTTGTTTGTCATTAGAATGAGCAGGATGCGAGTTCCGTTGGGTAGAGTTTCACCTTGTGATTTGTAGTATGCCCAAGTTTGTACTCTGTCCTGACATGAATTGTTCCAGTGGAAATACATCCAGAAGGTTGCAAGTTGATTGGAAGTATTTTCACCCCCCACTGATTTAAATTTTTTCTATCTGCATCTCTGTAGCTAAGCAGAGTGGTAAAAAAAGAGGAGACAACAACCTTCACTGTCAGAACTGCCATATCATGCAGCTTCTTAAGATCTTATGTCTAGGGAGCGGTGACCGATCAGTACTATGTCTCTCTTCATTACTGGATGACACAGTTCCCCCCTACCATGGCCATTTGGGAGTAACGGCAATGGATGAGTGCTGCTATGTTGAACACGCTAAATATAGCTTTCTTCTTTCTTGAAGGTGTGGCGAAAAGCTTTGCTGAGTTGGGTTGCTTTATTAACGTGAAATGGTGCAGCTGAATGGCTTGCAACCACCTCAAATGTCCAAATGGTCAATGCCCCCAGCAATGTCATGCCGTCCGTCTGGCTCCGCCAGTGGGCACCGCAGGAACAAATGGCACGATGCCCGAGGAGTGGCATCAACTAGTCAGAGATGAGAAAGGACAAGTCTTTGTTGATTCACATTTTTAGCGAACAGTTAGGGTTAGGATCATACGGTGAACATTGTTTCAAAAATCGGAGCAAACAATTTTACAGAGCATGTACCTTCACCCAACTGACAATTGCTCGACTTGCATATATAAAGAACTCAAACATGAAGGCAGCAACCAGCTTACTGCTTCTGGTTCAACAACAGCTTACATACATACAGATCACCATGCATGCTAGTACCAGGTAACGGTGCAACGACAGACAAGTTTAATCCTTCTCAAAGACACTGGAAATTCAAAATAAACCTCATGCATAGATTTCTTTGCCGTTCCTCACCATCACCATGTAGCCAGGCCCCTGGGTGGGGTGGAGAGAGAATAATGAGATTAATTAATTAATCATAACGTAGCTGAAAAGCAGTTAGACACAAGGGTAACAGTCAATCTCCCCATATAAGAACAGTTATGCCAATCAACATTAATTTCGCTGGTTATTTCACTTGTTGATCAACTAAAGATTCATCTACCATTGAACTAAATTCCTAGAACTTGCAAAGAAGAAATCTAACAGGATAAGAAAAGTTCAACTTTCATGAGTAAAACTCAACATGGCGACAGAATTCTGTATGTTCCATGAAACTACATCAATCTATATTGGTTATTACAGGCAAAGCAATATGGTAAAATGCTCCATCTCACATTTAACTTGTGTCGCCTTTATAGCAGCTAAAGTAGCAGTGATCGCCCAACCTCTGCAGCAGATGCTTCAACCAAGTAATCAACACATTTGCTCGATCTTCTGCGCACACAAAAAAATTAAGTTCGAAACACATGGTAGATCACATTTATTATGAACAGAAGACCGTGCAAAGAAAGATGGCAGCACAAGTCTAGGACAGAAGTAATGCAAACCTCTGTCCCTGGACCACAGCATTCTCAGGGCTGATATCAGTATGCACATCCCCATTATCTAACAGGAGAAGCAACTGGGGTTCCAAGAACCACTTCTCCATCCGCAGTTGTTTCTGTAGTCATTTGCCCTGTTTGTTCATCATTGTAAGCAAATATGCCAGGTGCTCCTCCAGCTTGCATGTAGCAGCAGCTGCAGCTGCTTGTTGTTTCAGCACCAAGAAGGTCATCTAGCAGCAAACCTGTGGTAGCAATTACATATGAATTTTTGCATCAATAAAAAGAAAAATAATGAACCTACGTATTCAAAACTAAAGAAAAAGGTTAAAAAAACAAATATTACCAGCTACTCCACAAACAAAATCAGCAAAAGTGAAAAAACAACAAAGATAAATTATAAGATAGCTACACCACACTGTTATTGATATGCACTGCACAAGGAATAGCAATTATGCATGTGGTCGCTTCTGAGCAGGATTCGAAACCAATCTTGGACACAGTTTCAAGGATTGCTTGTACCAACTTCTGCCAAGTTCCAATTAGTCAGAAGCAGAACTTCTACAGACCCTCCAAACAAATAGCCAACACCGATTTATGGAGTGGATTTTTCAAGTTCTTATCATAACATGGTGAAAAGGACGCTTCATTGAAATTATGCTCCCCAATGTGGCCAGAATTGGTGAGATTCAGCCATAATAAGGTGTACCAGTCCGAAATGGGGGTCTTCTGACTCTGTAACTCAGATGTCAACTCTCTAAAAGAAATGTGGATGACAAAGTTAATAGTTCGCTCGTATTACATCGACGGGCTTTAACCATATTAATGTAAACAAGGATCATTAAGGTTGAATATCAAACCCCTTGCACACCTTTTTTAAGAGAGGGAAAATAATTCGCGAGGTGCTACCTGCTGGTGGCCGGAGGGAGCTGGGCTTGTTGGCATCGGCGAATACGGGAGGCGTGTTGAGAGCCATCACTCGCTCAACACCCACCTCGATGCCAACGACGGCGCCGCCACCCGATCTAAATAGGGGAGGAAGAGAAGCCGACTACGTGAATCGACGGGCAGCACCCGCCGAGGGCAATCCAAACCCCCGGGGAAGTAGCACGAAACCCTGGAGCAGCAGGAAATAGTGGGAAGCAGTGCAGATGTAATCCCCTCACCCTCGGTACCGCCTCCC